CCACTTAGCCACTGGTGCGACGTCCCTCAGTGGAGCCGACTTCTAAAAGTTCCGATTTTGTGCTCCGCTGCTCTATCACTTGCCAGAAGCAGCATCGGAGGCCCCCTCCCCCGCCATCTATCCTCCAGAATATCACCTCGGATTCACTTCTCCACACGTCCTACCTTCCAGAAAGTGGTCGCTTTTCTGTTCAGAGAGTTGCCGCTATTCTTTTCTTCGATCTCCTGTTGAGTTCGTAGGTGTTCAGAATGGTTTGATCCTTATCCAGCTGAATTCCTGGGACCAGATGAAATCCAGGTCTCCTACTCCTCCGCCATCTTGCTCCTCCAGCATCTAGGAAGTAGGAAATTTCTGATTTATTCTGTTTAGAAAAATGATTGCATATAAACTTTGTGCCAGGTTCTGTTCTAAGGGCTTTACATGAACTCATTTAATCCTCACAGCTGTACTATGCATTAGGTACTACTCATGTCCCCATTAGATAGAGGCACAGAGAGGTTAAGTAAGTAGTCCATGGTCACAGAGCATACCCAAGCAGCCCAACTCCAGAGCCAGTGTTCTCATATTGTGTAGGCCTTAAGAAGTCCATGTCATGACATCATCCCAAAATGCTGTGGCCATCTCTCATCATCTGATACCTGGTGAAGACATTTCCAGATCCTCAGATGCTTCTTCCTGCATCTTAAATGGATTGAGAAGCATCTGGAAGGTGGTGGATTTCTAACATTAGTTGGAAATACCCTGATGTTCCCTTTTTGGTTACTTCACAGGTTCATCAGACTGTATCAGCCTTAAAAACCAGTAACGTAAATGTCGGTGGTCGGGTACAGGCAACTGCATTTTTCTCTGGTGACCAGGTTTCCAGTGACAAGGAAGGTGAATAAATCATTTTGTCAGAAATCATTTTTGCCTGGAGTAAGTTGCTGATGTATAAATGCCTGTCTTACCATTTTAAAATCTTTTTTTTTTAAGGTTTTATTTATTACTTGAGAGAGAGGAGAGAGAGCGAGTGAACGAGTATGGGGGCGGGGGGGAGAGAGAGAGGGACAAGCAGACTCCCTGCTGAGCGGGGAGCCCACACGGGGCTCAATCCCAGGACCCTGAGGTCAAGACCTGAGCTGCAGGCAGACACTTAACCCAATGAGCCACCCAGGCGTCCCCGATTTTACAATCTTAGTGTCTCAGAAGCTTCTCATTCTTGCCCATGTGTTCTCTTGGATCTTGTGGCACATGTGCATTTTATTTCAGAACCCAATAAGATTTGTACCATAGATCATTTCTGTCACTAATTGATACTTAGATCGTGCCTTTGACACATATTTATTTTGCACTAATGGTCATAACCAGCCTAACAACTCTGGCTATCATTTATGGAGGGTGTGTTGTGTGTCAAGCCCTTTGCTTGAGTTGCCTGTGGATACACAGTATCTCCGCTGACCCTCCCTGTAAGTCTTATTTGACAGTGAGAGTCTGGAGGCTGCGCCCAAAGTTCCACAGTGAGTGAATGGTGAAGCTGAGCTACTGATGGAGCTTGCCTGACTCTGAAGCCCACACTCTTACTTTTTTTGTCCTACTGTTTGTGTGGCCCTGGGTTTCCAATGGGCTGCACCTCTCTGCATCTTATTCTCAAGAAGTGTATGTCCTACTATCGGTCTTAATGTTTTGATTTTAGATGAAAATTGATTCCCTTGGCAATTTTTTTTTCTTTTAGGTTATTATGGTACATTCTTTTTTATTTTTCCAGTGTAGTATCCTCTTATTTTTTTATGTATAGTTGAATAAAAACAGCTATATAATGCAATTAACATTCCCAAATGGTGGGACAGAAACTTTTCTGACTTTAAGCTCCAATTCAGTGTTCCCCTGTTGTGGGCATACAATTCCAAAGCATCTGAGTTTCGTCATTAAAACAAATAAAACTAGGACCAGGAGGGCGCCTGGGTGGCTCAGTTGGTTAAGCG